TTTTTTTTTTTTTTTTTTTTTTTTTTTTTTTTTTTTTTTTTTTTTTTTTTCATTACACCTGGCGAACTTTTGAAGGTCGTTTCGACCATTGTCGACTGGCCCGTAGTTGAATTACCATCGATAGCAGCTCTTTTGGACTTAACTTTCTCGTGTTCTCAATTATGCAGGGTGACTATGCCTTTGCTTCACAGAGACGTTTCTTGAATGGAACTTAGTTCGTCAATCGAAGGGCCTTCTTGACTAGACTTTTTATTTCTTATTTTGACCTCGACATCTAACTTTGCTCAATTTTTGTTAAACAGACGTTGGGGACTTTGAGAAATGTAACCTGGCCAGGATTCCTTCCCGTGTTGTCATGAGCAGACCTGGAAACAAGTTGGAAGGTTTGAGGCAGTCACTCCTTCGCCTGGATGAACTCTTCCGGTCAAAGACGCCCTCGTTTCAGATGTTTAACTCCTCTGCGTATGGAGGCAAAGATTTACTATTCAAAGACTCTTCCGTCAAACTCGTAGATGTAAAACAAAAGAACTCGACCGAGGCCTGGCTCGGTCAAAAGTACTTCAAAGCACTTCGAACACTTAGCCATTGCCAAGAGGTGGTAGCCGCGCCCAGATCACTCACGATCAAACTCAAATCGATGAACACTGGACAGTTGTTGCTATTAGTCATCACAGTAGTTTGTTTTCTTTTTAGGATACAATATGATTAAAAACTCAAGTATCGCTCCTGGTGCAAAGAGTTCGGCGGATATGACACGTGCAACTGAACAGTTTTCCGGTCGATGGGGCGATGAGCACGCAAATTCGGGAAAACGATTAATTGCAGAATACCCGGCCAGTTTGCAGCTGCACCCCGCACAATGCCTAGGTAGCCGCGGCAACATCGTGATTTACGCTTCTAGGCCAGTTGCTCACATCTCGACCGCAGACCAAGAAGAATATATCTGGTTACGAGATTAGGAACCTCGCAATCTCGGAAACGTCACGGAAACAATATTATAAACGTATTTCTTTCAGTTGAAAAGACAACTCTTAACATTTTGAAGGGACAGAATTAATGAGATATAAATGGACAATCAATCGCCAACATAGAAAAATAAACAATAATCGAAAAGAAAGTGGGAAAGATTGTATGAAATAGAATTACTAAAGGACACGAAAACCATGTTTCATTAAAAACAGACAGTAAGAATAATAGATAAAAAAAAATCAACCAAGCTAGGAGTTGCAAACGTGCAGCAGCCTGTTTACATACTTCTTGAATCTCTAAGAGCTCCCCAATAAACAACAGTAAACCTAAAAATACATAAATGATTTTTATTTTTCTACTTTTCTTTAGAAGCATAGCCACTACGTTTAACAATAAGTTTAGCTGCGTTTTATCAATTCCTGCGACGGACTCGTTACTCCTTTTCACTCAAGGCTCTCGGCTACAGCTTTTGCTTACAATAAAAACACATTTCTATCCCTCTATCTTCCATTATTTTCAACCTGGCCCTTCATTACTCTTTGAAATGTATCCTGCTGTGTATCCTAATTCAATATGTCATCTACGCATTGCAGACTCAATGCAATACGAGGGAGCAAAACATAGTGAACCTGATTGAAATAAGACGAATTACGCACAGCTCTGCCATTTGGAAGTCCCATTGGAAGGTCACGCAACGCTTCTCCGAAAGAGCATGGCGTGACGTGGTCGGAAGTACCGGTCATGAGGGACTATTTACTCAGATAGTCAGCCTAATGAAGAACCAGTATTCAAAACGTCGATTGTTTTACCTGAAAAATTCTATTCATTTGTAACACTCCCACACACTTTATTTGTACTATGGAAAGCCCGAGCATTAGGCGGTAAAACAGCTCAGCAGATCTACAATGTGGGTATCTCTAATCAGCTAACCTAACAACTGACACATACACATGAGATGCGCCGGGGTTCGTTTTCCCATTCTACAAAAAGTGCTGAGCAGCGCCAAGCAGCGCTATCAGTAGCACAAGCTCGATGATTGGAGCGACTGTGCACGAAGTGGACACCGTGGGTGAGGTAGTACATGACGCCATTGCCTCCCGGTTTTGGCCGTAATCTTTACCAAGGTAATCATTGTAATTTTGCATCTCGCTTGGAATGGCCTTCAGCTCTGTGGTGGAATCTTTGAAAAGCAAATTGGAGACTTTCTCGTCCTTGGAGTATTTAGTGGAGTTGAACAGCTGGAAATTGGTCCAATTTTTCTGATTGCTACCGTACCTGTCGCTCATGGTTGTTAAAATCGTAATGATGTCGCCGATCTTGTTGTTGCTTTTTCTTGTGACCACTGCATGCCCGGGATTATTGCCAAGATTGCAACTTTCATGGGCTTTGCCAGCAACGCCTGTTAAAAGAGCACGAATCATGTGATACACTCATTTTGTTTCTGCTATAAGAATGTACTTTATAAGAATATCAAGGCTATTATAAGAATAAACCCAAGGCTGAGATTTTGAAAACAATGTAATTTTGTGCGTTGAAAATTTGTTGATACAATACAATCCTATGTTTTTTTGTAAACCGTATAAAATTATTCCTTCCTCTAAACGGCAAAAAAAGCCAAAAAAAGAAACGAAAATTAATAGCACAAGTCGTACGTTCGATGCTAACAACATTTCTACAAGAAGTTATGTGTGGCATACCAGGCTGCAGTCTGGCTCCATAATTACTTCAACGCCACCAAAGTCAATAAAACCGAAATGCCATACGCCAGAATCTAAGAATATTCACAAGCATGTTTTCAGCCTAAAATCGGCAGAAAAATAAGAACATTCAGCCTGGGCCTGAAAAACATTCTCATATAAAAAAAGAGAGTATTATATAATTTGTTTTAAAAAGTAGCTACAGCCTCAGTGACTGTTTCGAATTCTCATTACTTTGTGCAACGAAATTTCCATGTTTGCAGCATTTTGCACTGAAAGGCATAGGACTATAAGGGCCATATGAGGCTAGTCAAGAGACCTTATATGTTGCTTTATAATATAGGTAGGACCCTGCGCACGCTCTGATTGGCCAAAAACCCATGTTTTATCGGAGTATAAAACATAGAAAAAGCATGTTTTATTGTTTTTCGCCTAAATCATAAAGCAAATGAAGAAGCCTAAGCCGTGTATTACACTGTGATAAAACACTCACTTTGATAAAACACGAGAAATATAGAAAACACTCGCCTGCGGCTCGTGTTTTCTACATTTTCCTCGTGTTCTTAAATGCCCATCGTGTTCTATCACAGTGTAATACACGGCTTAGGCTTCTTTATTTCTTAAATAAACATCTTACTTATTCTAGTTCCGTTTCTGCATAGGTACTCATAATCATCCACTTTTCCATATCCTCCATCGTCTACCACCTCTTGTGTAGTTGTGTGCTTCACAAAGGCCACGTCGCCCTTTCCGTCTCCCATACACTTGAACGCTCCATGGTAGCCTACGTACCTATTCTTGCTCGAGTCTTTCGTGCATTTGTCTGTACCTGTACCAGCACAGAGTTCGCATAGGTTCTTGTATTTGGAGGCTTCATCCTCCAACAAAGCATTAGCCCCTGACAAACAAAAACGAAACTAAGTTGTCGTTGCTTCCGAGCAGTGTGGTCCCCCATTTAATTACTATAGGGCACAGTAACACCAGGGTAATACTCAGTAACACTCGAGTTTTCCCTCGGGAAGGACTCCCATATAAAAAGGACAGGGGTGCTCTTCGTACCATTTAGGGGTTAAAAAAGATGTTTTGGTACCTCCTGAGGTGTTTAGCCTCATAAAGTCCACAGCAGGAGCTTTGTGGTACCTTTTAGGGACCTATATAGTACTGATTGAGACGAAAAAAATACGACAGGAGATATATTTGATAATCAAATTTACGAATAGAAGGTATTCGAAGCAATCGTTGTCAACGCAATTAAAAATTATGAAAATGTCAGTCTATGTGTTGTTTGAAAATTGGTGCCTCTCAGGAGTAAAAAAAAAAAAGGTTCAAACCACGCCCACAATATAGCATCTTTGTACCTCTTGGGGATTCTATTCGAAATTTCCCACGAGCACTCCCGTCCTTTTTATATGGGATTTTTCGCCGGGGAAATTTTGTGGCCTTATTTTCCGCAGCGCCCAAAGAAGGAACTTTTACCTTTTTTGTCTCGGTGAAAATGACGAAAACTATCTTTCATGTGCTTAAGGGGGTATGGTACCCTAAAATATGGCGATGTTCATGAAAAATTCAATTTCTTGGAAATACAAGCCTTAAGACCCTTGAGGACTTGTCAAAAACATTTTGAAACGATTTTGCCGAATTTCCTTCCAGATGAGTGTGAAATTTAAGGAAAGTACACAGTGGTATAAATTTTTTCACGTGGCAACGGCCATAGCAACGACTGTTTACTATAAGAACGTGACCAAAAATATAGATTATTTTTAACTTATATGAACGAAACTATTTAGAAAAAAACTTTTAAGACCTGCACAACTCGATTGGTATAATTATTTGTGAAAAGCTTTGCCTCAAATTGCCATCACAGGCTCATTCATTTCCCTTATGA